TTTTTTGACATAGGGGTGCTGGCAGTTACGTGGTCACCCATACTATAGCTGTGCCAGGCGCTCTAATCTGCCGTGGGCCCCAGTAACGCCTCCTCATGCTGTGCAAAGTCCAGAGGTCTATCATGGGTCCCTGTACGGCCTCACATTGTGCTGTCTCAATCGCACACACTCTGCCATGTGCCACTTTCAGGTCTCCTCACACACTGCTGGTGTGTTGAATTTTTTGACATAGGGTGCTGGCAGATTACGGGCCTCCCATAGCTGCGTGCCAGGACCCTAATCCTGCCATTTGGGCCCCTATATACCGCCTCCTCATGCTGCCTGCCAGTCCAGAGTCTCTCATGGTCCCTGTTCGGCTCCCATTGCTGCTGTCTCATCGCCACACTCTGCCATGTGCCACTTTCAGGTCTCCTACACAATGCTGGTGTGTTGAATTTTTTGGACATTGGGTGCTGGCAGATTACGGGTGCACTCCGTATAGCTTCTTGCTGCCAGGGCCCCTAATCTGCCATGGGCCCCTATATTACTAGCTTCCTCATGCTGCTGACATGCCAAGTCCAGAGTCTCTCATTGGGTCCACTGTTGACGGCCTCCCATTGCTGCTGTCTCCATCGTTCCACACTCTGCTCCATGTGCCACTTTCAGGTCTCCTCACACACTGCTGGTGTGTGTTGTAATTTTTTGACAGATAGGGTGCTGGCAGATTTACGGGCCTCCTTATAGCTGCTGCCAGGCCCTTAATCTGCCATAGGCCCCTATATACCGCCACTCCTCATGCTGCTGCCTAGGTCCAGAGTCTCTCATGGGTCCCTGTACGGCCTTTCCTTATTGCTGCTGTCTCCTTCATCGCCACACTCTGCCATGTGTGCCACTTTCAGGTCTCCTCACACACTGCTGGTGAGTGTTGATTTTTTGGACATAGGGTGCTGGCAGATTACGGGCCTCCCATAGCTGCTGCCAGGCCCCTAATCTGCCATGGGCCCTATATATACCGCCTCCTCATGCTGCTGCCAAGGTCCCAGAGTTCTGTCATGGGTCCCTGTACGGCCTCCATTGCTGCTGTCTCCCATCGCCACACTTCTGCCATGTGCTACTTTCAGGTTGCTCCTCACACACTGCTGGTGTGTTGAATTTTTTGACATAGGGTGCTGGCAGATTACGGGCCTTTCCCTATAGCTGCTGCCAGGCCCCTAATCTGCCATAGGCCCACTATATACCGCCTCCTCATGCTGCTGCCAGGTCCAGAGTCTCTCATGGGTCCCTTGTACGGCTCCCATTGCTGCTTGTCTCCATCGCCATCACACTGCCATGTGCCACTTCAGGTCTTCTCACACGACTGCTGGTGTGTTGAATTTTTTTGACATAGGGTGCTGGCAGATTACGGGCCTCCCATTAGCTGACTGCCAGGCCCTAATCTGCCATGGGTGGGCCCCTATACCGCCTCCTCATGCTTGCTGCCAGCATCCACAGTCTCCATGCCATGTGCCACTTTCAGGTCTCCTCACACTGCTGCTTGCCCTAGGTTCAATTTTTTGTTCATAGGGTGCTGGCAGATTACGGGCCTCCCATAGCTGCTGCCAGGCACGTAATCTGCCATGGTCCCCCGTACCGAGACTCCTCATGCTGTGACGTTGCAACAAGGGTGAATTCAACCCTACTATATGTTAGACCGCCTTTTTGACGAACAGCGAAAGGCCATCACAGATTTCCTGATGTTAAAAGCGGATAAAGGTACTCCCTGTGTAACTTAGATGTCAGCCATTGGCAGCTCATGCGTGGACACCTGCGCTTGCTCAGGCCCTTGTTGAGGAGGCCACGCTATTCGTGAGTCGGCAGGACTATGGGATAGGAACAACGTCATGACCTCTGTTGCACGTCCTAGAACAAATGCTGTTAACAATGGCTGGTCAGATGTTTGCGGTAGACGTGGGCGCCTCGTACAGATCTCAACGCCACATGACCCCACTGGGGGGTCAGGTTCAGGAAGAAGAGGAGGAGGTAGAGGAGGACATTGGTGCTCAGGAATTGTGCCACTTGAGTGTGAAATGGGTGTTTTTTCCACTCAGCGGAACAGGAAGTGGAGGAGCAGGAGCATATGGGAGAGGAGGAGGAGACAGAGGACCAGACGCATCGTGGCAGTATGCTGTGGAGATGGAGGCCAGGGAGTCCCTCGCATCCTTGGCACAAATGGCCCTTAGCATGCTCGTCGCTTGCTTGCCGTGGCGACAGTGACCGAATAATAACCATCAGTCAGAGGGATGACTTTTTGGCTGTCCACCTTGTTGGACCCTCGCTACCGTTTCTAAAATGGTGGCCTTTTTTCACACTTTTTTTTTGTACATTTTGTCATAGGATCTCGACTGCTGCAGGTTACAGGCCTCCCATATGGTGCCGCCAGGCCAAAATCGGCCATATGGGCCCCCGTACCGCCTGGTCACGCTGCTGCTGGGCCCACAGTGTGACCTGGGTACCTGTACCGCCTCCCATTGCTCCCACTCTACCATGTGCCATGTTTGAGGTCTCCTCACACTCCTGCGTTTTTCCATTTTGTCATAGGTTGCCTGGCAGATTAAAGGCCTCCCCATAGGTGCCGCCAGGCCCCCTAAATCGGCCATTGGGCCCGTACCGTACCGCCTGGTCACGCTGCTGCTGAAGCCACAGTGTGACCTGGGTCCCTGTACCGCCTCCCATTGCTCCCACTCTACCATGTGCCACTCTTTGAGGTCTCCTCACACTACTGCAGCGTTGTTCCATTTTGTCATAGGTTGCTGGCAGATTAAAGGCCTCCCATAGGTGCCCGCCAGGCCCCAAAATCGGCTCATGGGGCCCTCTCCGTACACCGCTACATGGTCACGCATGTGCTGAGCCCACAGTGTGACCTGGGTCACCTTGTACCGCCTCCCATTGCTCCCACTCTACCATGTGCCACTTTGAGGTCTCCTCACACTACTGCGGTTTTCCATTTTGTCATAGGTTGCTGGCAGAGGTTAAAGGCCTCCCATAGGTGCCGCCAGGCCCCAAATCGGCCATGGGCCCCCGTACCGCCTGGCACACGCTGCTGCTGGGCCCACAGTGTGACCTGGGTCCCTGTACCGCCTCCATTGCTCCCACACTCTACCATGTGCCACTTTGAGGTCTCCTCACACTCCTGCGGTTTTCCATTTGTGTCATAGGTTGCTGGCAGATTAAAGGCCTCCCATAGGTGCCGCCAGGCCCTCAAATCGGCCATGGGCCCCTGTACCGCTGGTCACGCTGCCGCTGAGCCCACAGTGTGACCTGGGTGTCCCTGTACCGCCTCCCATTGCTCCCACTCTTCCATGTGCCACTTTGAGGTCTCCTCACACTACTGCGGGTTTTCCTTTTTGTCATAGGTTGCTGGCAGATTAAAGGCCTCCCATAATGGTGCCGCCAGGCCCCAAATCAGCCATGGGCCCCCGTACCGCCTGGTCACGCTGCTGCTGGGCCCACAGTGTGACCTGGGTCCCTGTACCGCCCTCCCAATTGCTACCCACTCTACCATGTGCCATTTGAGGTCTCCTCACACTACTGAGGGGTTTTTCCATTTTTGTCATAGGTTGCTGGCAGATTAAAGGCCTCCCATAGGTGCCGCCAGGCCCAAATCGGCCATGGGCCCCCGTACCGCCTGTCACGCTGCTGCTGAGCCCACAGTGTGAGGTACCTGGGTCCCTGTACCGCCTCCCATTGCTCCCACTCTACCATGTGCCACTTTGAGGTCTCCTCACACTACTGCGGTTTTCCATTTTGTCATAGGTTGCTGGCAGATTAAAGGAGCCTCCCATAGGTGCCGCCAGGCCCCAAATCTGCCATGGCCCCCGTACCGCCTGGTCACCGCTGCTGCTGGGCCCACAGTGTGACCTGGGTCCCTGTACCGCCTCCCATTGCTCCCACTCTACCATGTGCACTTTCAGGTCTCCTCACACACTGCTGGTGTCGTGTTTTCCATTTTTTGTCATAGGGTGCTGACAGATTACGGGGCCTCCCATTGCTGCTGCCAGGCCTTGTAATCTGCCATGGGCCCCCGTAACCCCCTTGCCTGGTCACGCTGCTGCTGGGTCCACAGTGTGACATGGGTCCCTGTACCGCCTCCCATTGCTCCCACTCTGCCATGTGCCACTTTGAGGTCTCCTCACACTCCTGCTGTTTTCCATTTTGTCCATAGGTTGCTGGCAGATTAAGGCCTCCCATAGGTGCTGCCAGGCCCCAAATCTGCCATGGGCCCCCGTACCGCCTCGTCCACGCTGCTGCTGGGTCCACAGTGTGACATGGGTCCCTGTACCGCCTCCCATTGCTCCACTCTGGCCATGCCCATGTGCCACTTTGAGGTCTCCTCACACACTCCTGCGGTTTCCATTTTGTCATAGGTTGCTGGCAGATTAAAGGGCCTCCCATAGGTGCCGCCAGGCCCCAAATCGGCCATGGGCCCCTGTACCGCCTGGTCACGCTGCCGCTGAGCCCACAGTGTGACCTGGGTCCCTGTACCGCCTCCCATTGCTCCCACTCTACCATGTGCCACTTTGAGGTCTCCTCACACTACTGCGGTTTTTCCATTTTGTCATAGGTTGCTGGCAGATTAAAGGCCTCCCATAGGTGCCGCCAGGCCCCAAATCTGCCATGGGCCCCCCCCCGTACCGCCTGGTCACGCTGCTGCTGGGCCCACAGTGTGACCTGGGTCCCTGTACCGCCTCCCATTGCTCCCACTCTACCATGTGCCACTTTGAGGTCTCCTCACACACTGCTGGTTTTTCCATTTTTTGTCATAGGTTGCTTGACAGATTAAAGGCCTCCCATAGGTGCTGCCAGGCCCCAAATCTGCCATGGGCCCCCGTACCGCCTGGTCACGCTGCTGCTGAGCCCACAGTGTGACATGGGTCCCTGTACCGCCTCCCATTGCTCCCACTCTGCCATGTGCCACTTTGAGGTCTCCTCACACTACTGCTGTTTTCCATTTTGTCATAGGTTGCTGGCAGATTAAAGGCCTCCCATAGGTGCCGCCAGGCCCCAAATCTGCCATGGGCCCCCGTACCGCCTGGTCACGCTGCTGCTGGGTCCACAGTGTGACCTGGGTCCCTGTACCGCCTCCCATTGCTCCCACTCTGCCATGTGCCACTTTGAGGTCTCCTCACACACTCTGCGTGTTTTCCATTTTTTGTCATAGGTTGCTGGCAGATTACGGGGCCTCCCATAGGCTGCTGCCAGGCCTGTAATCGGCCATGGGCCCCTGTACCGCCTGGTCACGCTGCTGCTGAGCCCACAGTGTGACCTGGGTCCCTGTACCGCCTCCCATTGCTCCCACTCTGCCATGTGCCACTTTGAGGTCTCCTCACACTACTGCTTTTTTCCATTTTGTCATAGGTTGCTGGCAGATTAAAGGCCTCCCATAGGTGCTGCCAGGCCCCAAATCAGCCATGGGCCCCCGTACCGCCTGGTCACGCTGCTGCTGGGCCCACAGTGTGACATGGGTCCCTGTACCGCCTCCCATTGCTCCCACTCTACCATGTGCCACTTTGAGGTCTCCTCACACTCCTGCGGTTTTCCATTTTGTCATAGGTTGCTGGCAGATTAAAGGCCTCCCATAGGTGCCGCCAGGCCCCAAATCGGCCATGGGCCCCCGTACCGCCTGGTCACGCTGCTGCTGAGCCCACAGTGTGACCTGGGTCCCTGTACCGCCTCCCATTGCTCCCACTCTACCATGTGCCACTTTGAGGTCTCCTCACACTACTGCGGTTTTTCCATTTTGTCATAGGTTGCTGGCAGATTAAAGGCCTCCCATAGGTGCCGCCAGGCCCCAAATCTGCCATGGGCCCCCGTACCGCCTGGTCACGCTGCTGCTGGGCCCACAGTGTGACCTGGGTCCCTGTACCGCCTCCCATTGCTCCCCACTCTACCATGTGCCACTTTCAGGTCTCCTCACACTACTGTGGTGTTTCCATTTTTTGTCATAGGGTGCTGACAGATTAAAGGCCTCCCATTGCTGCTGCCAGGCCTGTAATCTGCCATGGGCCCCCGTACCGCCTGGTCACGCTGCTGCTGGGTCCCACAGTGTGACATGGGTCCCTGTACCGCCTCCCATTGCTCCCACTCTACCATGTGCCACTTTGAGGTCTCCTCACACTCCGGTTTTCCATTTTGTCATAGGTTGCTGCAGATTACAGGCCTCCCATAGGTGCTGCCAGGCCCCAAATCTGCCATGGGCCCCCGTACCGCCTCGTCACGCTGCTGCTGGGCCCACAGTGTGACATGGGTCCCTGTACCGCCTCCCATTGCTCCCACTCTGCCATGTGCCACTTTGAGGTCTCCTCACACTCCTGCTGGTTTCCATTTTGTCATAGGTTGCTGTATGGCCTCCCATTGCTGCTGCCTCCACCGCCACACTGTGGCTCCAAACACTGGTTTTGGCCCCATGACTGCCCAAATGAGTGAAGTGTGCGGTGATTCTAAGATCGACGGCACTCATCTGCATGTCATACTGACTGACAGTATTATTTCTCTCCCCAGCAGACTCCAAGGGCATTTAAATTAAAGGTACAGTGTTCTGCACTAATATTAAGTCTCTCTGAAGCCTAGAAACACCCTTTTTTAAGTTAAATTCACAGCGAATATATTCGACTCGAATCGAATATTTTCCACGAATTCGCCGAATCAGTCGAATCGAATTTTTGAATACTTCGCTCATCTCTAATGATTACCTATGGGACATGTTCACATCTGAGCGTTTTCACCCAGTGCATTTTTTGGAAAGGGTCAGGGACTGTTTTGAAAGTAAAAAGTTGTGTTTTTGGTTCTATAGACTTCAATGGAAATGCTGTAGAAAAGCATGTATTGTGTGTTTGCTGCATTATTTTTGTGTTTTTTGCCACGTTTTTGATATGTTTTGCATTTTAAATCTGCCTAGCAACAAGAAAAATTTAAAAAAATGAAAAAAAGTAACCAAAACCCATCAAAAACGCAAGTGCAAAAACGCAAAACCCAATGCAGAAACTGCTCAAATGCAACCTGCATAGGTGTGAACCTAGCCTTACAGATAATGGAATTGCATGGATATTGTAACAGTCCTGCAGAAACATAAAAGTCTATTTGGGGATTCAACCCAACGAGATGTCAGTTTTGGGTACACTAAAAATGCCACATAGCTGCAACAAATTTTTTACTATGGTCAATGTCATTGGTAGAGTTCCTAACAAACCCCATACATTCCTGTATTGCGAATGTACAACAAACATGTAATTCCCTGCTGCAGGCTGATTTGTTTCAAAGAGTTTCAGAGTGTCAACAGGTCATGTATTTTAGAAAGCAGAAGGATTCAGCTCAGCAGAACTGTAACTGTCACAGCAATTCCCCAACATACCTTGAATTTTTTAGTACATCGTAATTTAATCTCTTGCCAAACACTTGAGACAAATTGTGAAGCTAAACTTTTATTGTAATTTATACACATAATGTTAAAAGAATCTCTTTACTTTAAAGCAAAAAGTACACATTGTGACTCTTTGTGCCTAAATTGCATTTAAAGTCAGTGAGGCAGCTCTGCAAACAGAGTTCAATGAACTCTACTGAAAATGTGGCAAGTAGCCCAACTGTCACAGATCACTTATAATAAACCAGCACCTAAAGCAGAACTAAACTCTTTCAGTCAACTTTAACTATTTTTAATCTTTATGCTGTATTAGTAAATAGATAGGAAGGTATACTATATTTACTTGTTTTAAATGTTTTTTTACATTTCTTCAGATGCTTCCTGGTTTCCAGCCTAGGCCAAAATTATCTCATACCTCCCAGAAGTCTTTTCATCTGGAGGGAGAGCTTTCTCAGGTAAGCACACCCTCCTGCCTGCATGCCTGAGCCATGGATAGATGGATTCCAGGAAGTAAATGCAACATAAGTCATTTCCCCTTACTCAGGATGGCTGTGACTAGGAATGACAGGGTTGTGTAGCAGATG